CTCAGGTTATTTAAGGAAGTATTCCTTTTGATCACCTTCTTCAGTTTAGATGTGATTAATCTATCTCTGTTACAGAGATATGAACCAAAGGCTTCTAAGGTAGCTGTTATTAAACCTTTACTTGAGAAACCGTATCTTGACCCAGATGACTTGGTCAATAATTGACCTATATCCAATCTTCCTTTCTTATATAAAATTCTTAAGAAAGTAGTTGCCGAACAAGTGCGTGGCCACTTACACCAGCATGAACATTGTGAAGAGTTTGAGTCTGGCTTTAGAGCTCATCATAGCACTGAAACAGCTCTGGTGAAAGTTGCCAATGATATTCTCATGGCCTCAGATAATGGACTTGTATCTGTGCTCGTCCTGTTGGATCTCAGTGCTGCATTTGACACAGTTGATCATAATATTCTTTTAGAAAGACTTGAATGTTTGGTAGGAATTTAAGGAACAGCACTAGACTGGTTTATTTTATTTATCTGATCGATTTCGGTTTGTTCAAGTTATTCTCTTTACTATATATATGCTTCCAATTGGTAGAATTATTAAACAACATGGGATTAACTTTCACTGTTATGGCGACGTCTATATCTACTGTATCTACGAATCCAGATGAAGCTAACCCATTTCATTTATTAAAGGCATGTCTTGAAGACATTAAAAACCTGGATGACTCTTAGCTTTCTGCTTTTGAATGCAGACAAAACAGAAGTTATAGTCTTTAGACCTGAGTCTTTGCAAAAGAAGCTGATTAGTCAGTCATTATATTTAAATGGGATTAAACTGATCTGAGAAAATAAAATAAAAAATCATGTTGTTATTTTTGGTCAGGACTTGTTATCTAAATCCCATATCGGTACAGACCAGGACTGATACACGGCTAATGAGAAGGCTCACCCAAACCACACTGACAGGGACGGCACCAGAAGTACGATGCCAATGTGGCAAGATACGCAAGAACACCAGAGGGCTAAAGATCCATCAAGCCAAGACCAAGTGTGGAAAGGAGGCAATTCTGTTGCAGCGCAGAGTGGAGACACTAGGGGTGTAAATAATAATCGTTTTGTATCGATGCATCGATTCAACAGCCGAAGATTCGATGCATCAACACGTCCGCAAGATAATCGATTCATGTTTTTTTCCCCCTCTGGTCTATTTTTATCCATTTGCTCCTGGGCGTAATTCTCCCTCCCGTGCTGCGGTGTCGCTAAACCTATTTTGCCCTCCTACCTCGCTTCCTGGTTATACTCTTACAGCAGTGTGTTGCAGCAAGCTTGACACAGACATTTTTAAATTATGCTCAATATTGAAGCGTGGTCTGTGCTACACACTGTGGGTCTAGATACGGCCCAGGCGGCGAGGAAGTGGGGGCGAGTTTAGTCCGACGACGGAGGGACATGAGGGCCAAAAAGAGCGGAGATCCAGGTAGAAAAAGGGTCCCAGCGTTCTCGTGCACCTCGCACTTCTAGCGGGTCAAACTTCACGAGTTGTTTTCCGCTATTTCGGTCATAAAAACAAAACAAGCCGGCCTCCTGTCTGCGGCACTGTTTGCGGTCACCTACAATTTGGGAGAGGAGCAGCGGAGCCTCTCTCAAAGGGGCGGTGACGTCTGGAGCCGAGGTATTGCATTGAACTCATTGCACTGATATGTGCAGTATTTTTGCAGTATTTTTTGATGCAACTTTTCTACTTCTGTTATTTGCTGTTGTTTCTAAAAAAAAAAAATGCATAACGATATTACAGCTTTCGTTGATTTATTTCAAACTTGAAACTTTGTTTAGCCTGTAAGGTCTAAAAAAAATTTTTTTTTTAAATTAATCATTAATCGAATCGAATCGAATCGAATCGAATCATGGTGTATTCTTGAGTATCGAAAATAATCAAATCGTTGGGTCAGGAAATCGATACTGAATCGAATCGCCATGATGGGTGTGATTTACACCCCTAGGAGACACCTCGTCATATGCAGGAGAACCCCAGTCAGGAGGCACCCCACAGCACTGGAGATCTCTTGGCAACGGCTTTGCCTTTGAACCACACAGTGGTCAACTCTGATGCCTCCCAGCAACCTCAACCTCCAAAGGACAGAATAAAATGGCCGAAAATGAACAGCAACAAGGAGTGGCAGCAGCTGGATGAGGACCTCTGTAAGATTCTTGAAACTGCTCTGGTAGGGGCAGCAGAACAGAACATGGCAACGATGACGGCAAAGATCTATAATGTGGCTAAGGAGTGGTTTGGTGTCGAGGAAAGGAAGACCAGTACTCCTAATGTCCGGCAACCAAATCGGAGGGTAAAGGAGATGCAGAGCTTGCGGAGAGAGATAATGGCACTATCCAGGCAGTTTAAGAATGCCACCAAAGGGGAAAAAGAGGGAATTAGAGACCTAGCATCAGGGCTTTGTGAGCAGCTTCATAGGCTGAGAAGGGCAGAGTAGACACGGAAGCAGAGAAAGAAGAAGGGGGCAAAGAGGGCACAGTTCATAAAAGACCCTTATAGGTTTACTAAAACCTTTTTAGGAGAAGCAAGATCAGGATCACTCAGCAGCTCTAAGGAGGAGGTTGAAGAAGCTCTGAGGTTGACTCACTGTGACCCACAGAGGCATGAACTTCTTAGCAGCCACCCAAAGATCATCAGGGTGCCAACCCCCTCAGAACCTTTGGTGACCAGAGAACCAACCTGGAAGGAAGTGGAGGAGGTGGTTAAAAAGGCAAGGACAGCATCAGCCTCTGGACCAAGCGGGGTGCCCTACAAAGTGTACAAGAAGTGTCCACTTCTGCTACGTAGACTTTGGAAGCTCCACCGGACAATCTGGGCAAAGGGCAACATACCAGCTTCCTATAGTGTACTATTTTTGTTCTTCCGTGTCCAAGTAGATAATATAAATAGCAAGCAAATGTTTATTAACAGTTTGTCATGGATCAAGGCATCTGCATGAGGTGACCCTTGGAATATTCCACAGCATAATATTTTGCACTGACTCCTCTCCCCTTGCTCCTTTGTATATTGCTTCCTGTGGACATGGTTTATTATTAATGAAGCTTGTTTGCAGGGGGGACCAGTACTAGAACAACTTTATGGATTTATAGGTATGGGGTTAGACAGTGTTCTAAAAATCTCATATTTCAACACGCTTGGTGATTAATGGGAACTGTTGATAAGGTTACTATGTCAGGTATCGCTACAGTTTTGTTCTACTGGGTGGGACAGAAAGGTTCCAAATGGAGACTTAGATAACATTAACATGAATCAGTGTGCAGGCAAGATATACATTCAGTAATCTGTTGCACACCTAAATGTGTGGGTGTAGGCTTCAACAGACATACATTTCCCAATTTGTAGCTATAAGGAAATTTGCATGTTTCAAATGTTAAAATGATAAGTAATCAAAAGAACCCTTCATAAAAAATGCTTGATATATTGCTTAACAGTGCTGAAAATAACGCACAGCACACCTCTATGGAGACTTTATGGGTCAGATTATGTCATTCGTTGCTCTTCTACAAACTTTATCATACACCATAAATGTTCAGAATCTACTGTTATAATACCTGTTAGCTCTCCTTGTTTTAAGATTAGATTGGGGCTGTTTGTCTGAATGCAATGCCAGTCAAAAACAAAAGAGCATAAGCCAATAAGAGTGAGTGAAAATTATGCAAGTATAGCCAGTGTTTTCATCCAAAGTGTTAAATGTTCGTAAAAGTAGCAAGTGGGTAAAGTGAAAATGCTCCATGTGATAAAATTTCCTTTGTTTTTAGATGCACAAAAGGCATGAATGTAGGTTTCTCACAAAGACAGTCTTTGCTAAGGAATTTTTTTAAACACTGTTTATTTAGGGCCAAGCTCAGTATTTACAAATGCCCCTACAGTCTACAGAATGTCACAATAATTCACTCAAACAGCACTTCCCACACAGTGGTTCTTTTTTCTTATCACATCCTTTCAACCTCTGATAGGCTACCTGGTTGACACACTCAACACCTCTGTAAACACCATCTACATCACCAGGTCACAACGTACAACTTGTTTGTGGATACGTTAAAATAATGGTTGTACAAATTGATATAGATTTTTTAAAACATATTCTTTGCAAAAATACAAATTAGAATTACATCAGAAAACAATTACTTCATACTGGAAATGGCACTAATTTCTTGCAGTTATACCAGTTCTAAATGTTGAAAAACAAAAACATAATTTGTATGAAAATAGTTTTATTTAAATATACAAACAAATTTAAAGAAACGATCCCCCAATGTTTTTTCAGAAGGTCAGATTAGTGTCTCTTCAACCATCATTTTCTCCATGTGCAGAAAAGTAATTCCTAATGCAAGGCAGATTTTAAAATGCTGCTTTTGGGAATTTGGTCCCCATAATAGTTTTGAAGATTTCCCACCTCAGCACATTGGATGCAAATGTATGATTGATTCATCACTCAGATTCACCAAGGGCTGCTAATCAGTTCCCTATTTAAACCAGGTGTGCTGCAGGGGGAAATCAAGTCATCCAGATAATACTATTTGAGTCTGTAGGGGTGAGTTATATAATTTCTCTTTGTTTGCTTTTGTTTTTATTCTAACAATATCTATGACTTACTTATCAGATGTTGGTATTGATTGTTAAAGATGTCATTTCTTTGACATATTCACCTCCTAAAGTGATTTATTTAGACTTTTCCCTTGGACTGACTTTTATCTTTTGCCCTTTGAATGGTTTCAATTGATCAATCATATCAAATTGTTTTCACTTTGTTAATGCTCTCTGTGCTAATGTTTGAGTCTCCCCCTTTACAAGACTCAGGAAAAGTAGTTTAGTCTATCAGTTGGATTTTATTGTAGTTTGGTTCAGTGCTTTTTATGGCCTCCAAGTCCTAAACCTTGTCATGTCACTATCTACTGAAACTGTTGGCTGGACGTTATAACCATGGAGATTTACATTGCAAGTCAAGCCCTTTTTAGTCATTGTTACTCCTCCCACTAATGAAGTTACCTGGTTGCGGGGATAAAATATGCAGTCGACTCTCTGTTCTTCAAGAACTGAAAGACTCCTGAAGTGTTACAAGTGGCTAACATGTGAATTTTCTTCATAGAAGGGCTATACAGGAACTATTCATCACTTATCCTTCAACATCATTGAGTTTGTGGTGGCTGAAAAGCTGCTGTTGGGGGGGATAAGCCATGCTTGGAGAGATCCATGCAAATGTGATCACTGTGGCACTGGTCGTTTTGCTTCACTTGGGCACTATATGCAGGTATGGGTTTTTAAACATTTATTTTAAGTTAATCGTAGTCTGACTCTTAATGAATTTTCTTTAACTTTTAGAGCTGAAAATGACTTGTCATTGGTAAAGTTACCAGCGGGGGAGCAAACCTCAGGTGATGCAGAACTTGATACAAGCATTGCTGAGAGTATTTCTTACAGAATGAGAGGGTTTAAATGCTCCAACTAATATCTCCTAGATTATGTTTCCTGGTGTTTCTTCAGCCAGAATGGGAATCTGACTTGTAACTGGACAAGCAGCCATAGATCAGGTATTGTACATGATATAATGAACAATTCAAGAACGCTGATTTACTTTCTTTGAAAGCAATGCTGTTCATTTGATTTGATAAAATAAAGTTCAATGCTCTCTTCTAATCTAAAGAATGATTATGTCCTCTTTAGTGGTGTTCCAGTAGCCAACTTTTGTTTTTGTTTTTTTTCTCAATGGATTGTGTCCAGTTACTTTTCAAAAATATAATTCTTCTTTGTCCTTCTGGCAATCTGTTTTTACATTTAGCTCCCAGAAGTAGAAAACAGGAAATGACAAGCCATCCATTAGCAGTTGTGGGAAAGGTTTGCTTGGAGTTCTGGCATCTGGTCTCAGATGCATCCAGGAATGCTTCAGTTCGTGCTCTACTGAACAGCAGCTTGGGTCAGCTTGAGATCTGGACACCTCTTCCCCTCTCCAGAGATGGATGGCGACATGTGTCTGTGCCCCTTAATATCACTGAACAAGGCACTCAGGTGAAATGTTTCACATTTGCTAAATATAATTGCTTTGAAGTTGGAAATATTTAGTTGGTCTCTAATGAAATTTGTTCTACTAGGTCGTATTTGAAGCTTTCCATCCACTGACTGTAGACCAAAAAACCTTAAGACAAATTGGAGTAAGAAAAGGCTCTTGCAGTAAGTGTTGGTTACCTTCACCATAGTGTAAGTCAACCAATGATAAGTGATTTGTCAGACCCTTGACCTTAATTTTACTCCTGCAGGAGACCAGTGTGAATCAAATGCAGAGCTGTGGACTGATGACACAACACGTTGCCTCTGCTCAGGTTACCAATTCTTCTGTTTGCCTTCTCAGTGCCCTAAGGATCAAACCTGTGATCCTCTAGATGGACCCAGAAAAATTTCTCCTTCAGGTGTGTGTGCACCATCCACAGAAACACAGACTGCCACACCTTTGATGGTGTAGCCTTCAGATTGATGTCCCCCTGCACTTATGTGCTGGCCAAGACTTGCACAGAATCTAAAGGTCTGCTGGAGTTCTATGTGGAAGTGGTCAATGTGCAAACTGACAATGAGTCACTGCCAACTATCCAACAAATCAATGTGGGCCTGGGAAATGTGAAGGCATCATTACTTAAAGGTCAGATGCATCGAGCTGTGGTAAGTGGGTGTTTTTTTTGTTTTTGTTTTTTTTTAATGCAAAAATATCTTATTTGTAGATGTTCTATTCAGGCTAAAGACTTGTATAAAAGTTTAGGTTGACTTTACTTTATTGCTAAAGCATTTTTACTCTTGAAAGCCTCAAGTTAACTTGGATTTGTCTGTCACTTTGCAATTTTCAGATTTTCTCATGGAAAAGCTGGCATGCTTGTTATCTAGATCGGCTCATGGTTTTAAATGCATAAAAATTGGAATGGAATTCATATTTTGGTTCTGATTTGGATTGAGGACCTTTTTAAAATGTGAAGGCATTTAGCTTTTCAAGTAAATAAACAATCTTTTGGGTTTTTTTTTTTTTTTTTTTTTTCCTGATGCAGGATTGAAGGGAGTCGGTTATTGACTAAATTCTGAGCTATTAAAGTAAACCTTCAGCTGTAGTCCCAAACTATTAAACCACAGCCCCAAATGTAATCTATAGTGCCTTAAACTTTGTTCACAATTGCTGAGGTGACAGAGCTGTTCCAATACAGTTTTAGAAATGTCTCCAATGCTGGCATCTCTATTGGAGTCTGGGCATGCCATGTAATTTAGAATGAAAATGCAATTCCTAGTTCTGATGGTTCTTTGCAACTCGTAAAACTATTGCGCTGTGCTGCCACCTTCTGCTTCAGATTGTTGAAGAGCTGATCACCTGTTGGAGCCAGAGCTTGCTGCTACTAAAAAGAACTAAATGGCTTGAATTTGCTGTATTCATGTTTCCATTAAAGTCAACCTCAGCCAGGCCTAATCACAATGACTTCAGTCATGCATGTGTAGCATTTTTATTTATTGCAACTTATGGTTATTGGCCGATACTCACTGTACAAGCATCGGAATCGTATCGGGAAAGAAAATGGTCTTGGAACGTCCCCAAATGAAAGCGATGGAATTGTATGATCTAGAGACATTGCATTTTATTTGCCCTAACTAAAGTCATGCGTTTGGATCTAAGACCCTGGATCCAAATGCTCATGGATGTGGCTAGATTGTACATTGTTACTGTGTGTGTGAATGACTGTAGTGTAAAGCACTTTAATCAAGTCTCCAGATATGAAAAACAATTGTATGGTACAGGCCATTTACCATTGGATTCAACAAAATACTTCTTGAGGCTTCATACACTTTGCATTTAGCTCCTGCTCTGAGTTGTTAAATCTTCTACAACTTCTTGCACCAAATAAAACTTTTCTTTTTTTTTTGTGGTTTTCAGGTTCATGGTGTCTGGCAAGAGCTTCCACTGAGTCTGAACAATGACACTGTCCATATAAAGAGCAACCCTGCTGTGGTGGTGATGGGAAGCAGTTCTGGAGTGTCTGTTTCCTATGACAATACTGGAGCTGTCCAAGTCAGAATCCCATTACAATATTCCGATGGAGTTTGTGGATTATGTGGCAACTTCAATCAACTGCCTGGAGATGACTTTCTCAAACCTGATGGCACAAAAGCTGATGATGCTACAGCTTTGGTTAAGAGTTGGGAGACTGGAGGAAATGTCTCTTCCTGTGAAAGCATCAAAGTGCCTCAACATTGTGATCCACTGGACAAAGCTCTTTATAGCAGTGAAAATTACTGTGGACTTTTGCGTGCCAGTGCTGGACCTTTTGCTCCCTGTCTGCCAGTTGTAGGTGCTGACAGCTTTTTCCGGGGTTGTTTACTTGGCTTGTGTTCTGCTCCTGGTGATAAAAATGTCCTATGTGACACATTGCAAGCCTATGCTAACATATGCCAAAAGGCTGGAATTGTTGTACCTACATGGAGGAACTCTACTTTCTGCTGTAAGTTTTCTTAAGGACACTTTTTTTTTTTTTTTTTTTTTTTTTTTGTGCCTAGATTTTAATGTCATGTTACTGTCTTTCAGCCCTTGAGTGTGGCAAAAATAGCCATTATAACTCCTGTGCAAATGGCTGCTCTGACGTTTGCTCAAGTCTAGATCAAGCTGGTTTCTGTGGTAGTTGTGAGGGCCGATGTCAGTGTGACCCAGGCTTTAAGATCAGTGGCGATGCCTGTGTCCCAGCTGAGGACTGTGGGTGCTGGTATAAGGGAAAACACTACAAGGTAACTCTATATAAATCTTATTTTTTGTTGTACACTGCTTCATTTTATTCAAACATTATTTTTCAACACAGAAAGGGGCAGTGACTGTGGAGGGAAACTGTGAGCAGGAGTGTCAATGTGTTGGAAATGACAACATAGAATGCACTGCCATTAAATGTTCCAGTAATGAAGTCTGTAAGGAGGAAAATGGGATCAAAGGCTGCTTCCCTTTTAAACCTGCCACTTGCCATGTGTATGGAGATCCCCACTATGTTACCTTTGACAAGCTGGCCTACAGCTTCCAAGGTGGCTGTGCTTACATCCTGACTTCAACCTGTGGTGAACACAGTACAGTACAGTTCACTGTAATTGGTTTCAACAGCCTCCCTGCTGACCAAAACTCTACCAGATCAAAACTTGAAGCTGTGGCTCTTCAGCTTAATGGACTGGACCTTGCCTTGAATCAGAGTGGGGAAGTTCTTGTAAGTAGTTATGAAAATACCTGCACAAATTTAATATATATATATATATATATATATATATATATATATAAAAATGGAGAGGGCAGGTCTATTTGTTACTAGCAATCTTACCAGTATGTTAAACTTAATCGTTTGGATGTATTTCTTAAATGCTGCTGTTCTGTCTAGGTGTATGGCAACACTGTCAGCCTTCCATATTCAACTAATGGTTCATACGGCTCTGTGTGGGTCTATGTGAACAAGGATTTCACCACTCTGGAGACTACCTTTGGCCTAAAAATTGGGATAGATGGGCACAGGAGGTTGTTTCTTCAGGTTGATGAGAGCTACAAATATGAACTTTGTGGTCTCTGTGGCACCTACTCTGGATATCAGGGGGATGACTTTTTAATGCCAGGAGGCCATATTGCTACAGAATCATTTGAATTTGGAGACAGCTGGAGAATTCCAATCAATGAAGGGTGAGTAAGACTAAGGCTCTGTTTAAAATCCTGGGCTCTGTTCGAAAACCTAGGACGCATCCTTAGAAGACCGGATTCGAAGGCCGATTACGTCATAGCGCGGCGCCGAGGTCTGGTCGGATTCCAAGAGTCCTCGTTATGCGGCCTTAAAATGCGTCCTTCTTTTTGCCCGATTTGAAGGACGGGTCCGATGTATTTTTGGATATCCCAGGATTCATTGCGAGACCAAGCAAGCTGTGATCAGAGGAAAGGTTACTTGGCACCGAACAGTGGTGAAAATTGGAAGTTCAGTTTAATATAATACAACTCTGTGAATAGTTCCGTCTGAAATGAATGAAAATAGTTGTTTTAATGGTTACTGAGTCAGATGTGTGGCGGTAATGTTGGGTTTATCTAAAAGTTTTAATCTGTTACTGGGTAAATGGGTTTGGCTGTAATTAAAGGACAGATTCTAATATATTTGCAGGGTGGGGACTATAAATCTGATAGGATTTTTATTGCTGTTTTGCACAATATGCTTAACTTCGTATTTTTTGTTGTTGAATATTAGAGATTTTGCAGATTTTTTTTATAAATATATTGTTTAGATTTACTTATCTTTCTACCCCTTTTATAGAATAGAAAATCACTTTATTTTCCCACAATGGGAAAATTTACAGCAGCAGAAAGATTATTGAAAATGGTCACACAAATGTGGACCTTAGAAAAATGTATAAGAATAACATAATAGGGAAGAGTTAAAATATAAACAATACAATACTGTAAAGTGTTTTAACAATATAAAACTGGGGAATAAATAACCAATATGCAGCTATGGACATTTTTACATTAATGGATATTTGAAAATAGCAGCAACATCAGAGATGTGCAAAATGACAGCAGCATTTTATTTAACTGACTAAGGTTTCTATCATTACATTTGATTTTATTTGTTCCTGCTCCTGGTGGTTGGAACCTTTATTCCACTCTGGATTCTTGTGAGTGTAGTCTTTGTTCACTTCACAATAAAAAAGGAAAACTTCTGTATTCATTCTTTTCCTGCTTTGTGTGTCAACGTTCACGGTTGCTAAGCAACAGAGCATACGGCGGTAAAACCCGCCGAAGGGTAGACCTGGTCGAATTTACAGCCAAAACTCTTCCGGTCTCCTTATTTTCAAGGACTTCGAAGGATCCAGTCTAGGTAGACCGCGTCCTTGAAGGACCCGTCCTAGGTTTTCGAACAGAGCCCTGGACAGCATCCCCCTAGGATGTAGTGTACCTAGACTGGATCCTTCGAAGTCTGTGAAAATAAGGAGACCGGAAGTGTTTTCGCTGTGAATTCGAACAGGTGTTGACATTCACGGTTGCTTTAGTAACCGTGAATCTTAACACACAAAGCAGGAAAAGAATGAAAACCGAAATTTTCAAAACCATTTATTGTAAAGTGAACAAAGACTACACTCACAAGAATCCAGAGTGGAATAAAGGTGCCAACCACCGGGAGCAGGAACAAATAAAAGCAAATGTAATGATAGAAACTTTAGTCGGTTAAATAACATGCTGCAGTCATGTTGCTATTTTCAAATATCCATTAATGTAAAAATATCCATAGCTGCATATTGGTGGTTCTCCAGTTTTATATTGTCAAAACACTTTACAGAATTGTTTATATTTTAACTCTTCCATATTATGATGATCTTATACATTTTTCTAAGGCCCACATTTGTGACCATTTTCAATAATCTTTCTGCTGCTGTAAATTTAGCCATTGTGGGACAAAGGGATTTTCTATTCTATAAAAGGGGTAGAAAGATATGTAAATCTAAACGATGTATGTATAAAAGAGAGCTGCAAAATCTCTAATATTCAACAACAAAAAATACTTAAGCATATTGTGTAAAACGGCAATAAAAAAATTGAGCTATCAGATTTACCCCCAGATTCCACATACTCCATCAGCACTCCACTCCGCCCCGCTGACGTACGTCGTGCAGAGCGCTTGTCTTTCATGTAAATCAATGGGAGCTGTTCCACATCCACCGCTACTCCTCCGCACGTCTCTGTCCACGTACGTCTTCTCCGTCCTTCACCGACAAAATACGGAGCCAAGCTTTTTTTTTTTTTTTTTTTTTTTTTTTTTTTTTTTTTTTTTTTTTTTTGGGGTCCGGCCAGGTCAAGATCCGCAATTGCAATCGCACCAAACGGGAAAAAGAACATCGAGAAATTCCAGCTCGTCAAATTAAAATATAGTACCAACAGATCGGTAACTAGAAATTATAGCATAGTTCTTATATATTTAAAAAAACACAGTTTAAAGATTGGATGCAAACTATTGGTTATTCACCAACCAGGAAGGAGTTTTCTAATCTCCAGCAAAATATTTATTTTATACTGAGGGACCTAAAAGTTTAATCAAATCCATTCAAAGAAATTTCTTACAGGAATAGATGGAGAGATGCTGAGTTTGGGAGTTCATAAAAAAAAAAGCAGTTTTGAATTATCCTAGTTATCCCTGTTACCAAAAATATTTGGGCAGAAACTGAACATATGCTGGATGACTGGATTCTTCTAATATGCCATATTAAATTAAGTGCTTACAGGGTTCATAAAGGAATGAGTGACTAATTTAATGCTATTAGAAATGATTTTATGAAATATGAAGGAGCTGTAAGCACAGTTCCCGTGTGTGTGTGGCCTTGTCTTTAATACCTGGTGGGGACAATTTCCTAGGAATATGCTACATTTTGGGGACTCGTAGGTACTTGTGGGGACCAACAACTGGTCCCCACAAGGAAAGTTTCTCTTCTTGGGGTTATGTGCTTCGGGCACATTATGATTTTTGTCTATCTTTTCTTTGTTTTCTTACAGACTTTAGTTGAAGGATCTTTTGTTAATATATTTTGGGAGCTGAATAATTATTTTGACCAGTTAATTACGTTAATTTGTGGTGCTGTTGTCAGCCTATAAATAGGCTGGCTTTCAGCATGTTGGGGCGTTCCTTTCCAACTTCGCTTGGACGCCGCCTTTCCACCTGCTTCCACTTGTTCCATCGTGCGCACTTGTCTTGTCGCTGCGGCCTGCAGCGGACGTTCCAGCCTGCCATGCGGTATTTTTGTTAGCCGTCTCTTACTTTTTTCTTGTGGTTTTTGGCCTGGCGGGGCCGGTTGTCCTGTTTTCGATCTTTTTTTTTTCTTTTGCTTAGGTTATTTTTGGCCTTTAGTCCGGTACCAGTAGGGGCTTCGACGGCCCTGTATGGGGTTGGCCCCCTGCTGTACCGTTTTGTACTCTTTGATCGGCCTGCCAGGTCCAACTTTCTTTTGTTACTTTTGGGTTTCATTTTTTGATTCCTTTGGGGCACGGGATCTGAGGGCCTCTAACTCTTTTTCTTCGCAGTAAATCAGAAGAAGCTGAGCAAAGAAGGCTAGAGGAGAGAATTTATAAATATATCTTTTTTTTTTTCAACCCTCATCTTTTGTCTCGTGTCCTCAAATATGTTGTGCCCTTGGTGGAATAAACAGGGGTGGGGGTTAGGTTTAGGACTAAGGTGTGAATTGAGTTTAGGTTGGGTTTAGGGATAGGTATGTGTCGGTTAGGGTTAGGGCAAGGGTCATGGTTAGGCCATATAAATTGGTGGGAAATGAATGGAGGTCAATGGAAGGTCCCCACAAGGATATTGTGACGTGTGTGTGTGTGTGTGTGTGTGTACACACACCCTAGCTTTTTCTCCGCTTCAAGCTTCCTTTCCAAACATACGGCTTTATGATCAGTTCCAAGCAGATTAATAGCGATATAATGTATCTGTCGAAATTGTTTTTATATTATAAATGCCACGATAGACATATATAATTTTTAGTGCCAATTAAGGCCTTTATTTAAAAAAATGGATATAGAATTGTAATTTTCAATGATCCGCGGAAACCCTGGTTTATCTCGCGCATGCCCTCTATGATCTTGGAGCAGAGCGGACGGGAGCCACAGCGGAGGCTGTAGGCTTTGCCCAGGCGGTCTAGAGCGCAACAGAGCGCTGACGGGAGTATTGGGATTTCGGGGTTATAGTCCCCACACTGCAGATATTAGAATCTGTCTTTAAATTACAGCCAAACCCATTTAGACAGTAACAGATAAAAACCTTTAGATATATCAAACATTACTGCTGCTTATCTGACTCAATAACCATTTAAACAACGATTTTCATTCATTTCAGGTAGAACTATTCAGACTTGTATTATATTAAATTGAACTTCCAAGTTTCACCACTGTTCGGTGCCAAGTATCCTCTGATCACGGAACAAATTGCAGCTTGCTTGGTCTCGCAATGAATCCTGGGTAAACAAAGGATGGCGAGGATACATCCGACCCGTCCTTCAAATCGGGCAAAAAGGACGCATTTTAAGGTCGCATAACAAGGACACTTGGAATCGACCAGACCTGTGCAGCGCTATGACGTCATCGTCCTTCGAATCTGGCCTTCTAAGGACTCATCCCAGGATTTCGAACAGAGCATAAATGTTGTGCTTTGTAATGACTGTTTCCTTACTCAGTTGGTAGTGGTCATTAACTTCACTTTAACTGAACTTTATGGTTTTTAAAAATTTCATGTCAACACTTTGGTAAGCATGTATTGAGCTGGACAACCAATGAGCAATGGGGAGGCTAGATTCCATTTTGACATTCTAGAGGCTTTCAAACTGTCCTTGTGACCCACTGTCGTTAAATGTCTGCTCCGGCCACTGATCTCTATTCACTGGATTGCTGATCGCCTGATGGTGATTCTGCCATGTTGGTACTACCCACAGACGTGCAGTAAAATGCCTACATGAGAAGGATTTGGCTGCAGAAAATGAAGTTTGCTGACTATGAAAGTCTAACAAGTGCATGTGCTAACCAAAAAAAATAAATATATACGCTGATGTAACATAACACTTGTCTGGCTAGCTTAGACTGACTTGAAGACATTGACTGACTTGGCCATTAACATTGTGTCAGACGTAAGAAAATGTGTAAATAGAAATTCACTGTGCAATGTAAATGAAGTCGCTATGAAATGGCAAGTGAGTGTCAAAGAGGTGAATTTATCTTAATTTCAAAAGTCTAAGTCCCCCTGAAAATTGTCAATGCTGTAGCGCACATTTATGTTGCAACCGGTCTAACTAGGAGTACAAAGATGGACGCCAGTGGTTTCACTTAACCCAGTACTACCAATGGGCAATCAACAATCTAGTGAATGGAAATCAGTTGCTCCAGCACACCTGCATCAAATTGACTCACTCCTTCAACAGCACCCACAAGCTACATGGGCCAGCTAATCACCCACAGCATTCAGGACAGTGAGTCCTAATGACATTAATATAGTATATTATGAGCTGTTATTAATTTTTATTTTTTTACTGAGGATTTTTTTCCCTACAAGTTTATATTCTTTTTAATTTTTGAATACCTTAGATGTACTGCCTCTCCGAATGATACCAGAAAATGTGTCGATGATGAGGAGAATATGGCCAATGAGGAATGCTCCATGGTATTTCAGGGGGCTTTTGAGGCTTGCCATGAGCATGTTCATCCAAGCATCTTTTTCAACAGTTGTGTATATGACTATTGTGCCACTGCTGGTAATCCAGTAACTTTATGTGAATCCCTGAAGTCTTATGCCACAGCATGTAAAGCTGAAGGAGTGGAACTCTCTCGCTGGCAAACTGGAACGCCATGTGGTGAGTTGATACTTGCATCTCAAGTTATAAACAAAGATTGAACCAAAATGATGCAATTCATTTTCTTCCCAACTCAATCTCTCAGATTTCTCAACTGCAGCTCCAACAACTTGGGGTGCCACTTCTCCAGATCAGACATGTAAGGCATTCTTTGGAATAGTAACTCTTCCAAACCTTTCCTTGTCACATTGGTTTAATGCTCTAATGTTTTGGTTTGTAGTCTGCCCCATTAACTGTAGCTTTGACACAAATCTGTGTGAATGGGAGCAACTCATTCAAGACAGTCTGGACTGGAAAAGACATTCTGGATCTACACCATCAAATCTAACTGGGCCAAACCAGGACCACACTACAGGGGGTAAAACTCTCTTCTCTTACCCTTGCACTTTTTTTTTTTTTTTTTTCTCGCCCAACTGATATGTGAAACTTGAACCTGCTTTCCTAGGTGGTTTTTACATGTACCTTGAAGGAGACTATGTAACCCATGGAGACTCTGCTAGAATGATGAGCTCATCATGCCAACTTGATGGCCCAGTCTGCTTTCACTTCTGGTACTACATGTATGGTTCAGCCACTGGCATGGCTCTCAATATCTATAAGCTCCAAGGAAATCAAGCTACAAAGATCTGGTCTACAATGAACAACCAAGGACCTGAATGGCATCTGGGAAAAGCAGATCTGAAAATCTCTGGTAGTGTCAAAGTAAGGCCTTTTGATATGGCTTGTAAAATGTTTTTTCATTCTACTTTGCAAAGGGTCATTGTGATAATAGACTCAAACCTTTCAGTTCATAATTGAAGGAATTCGAGGCTCCACTGCTCAGTCAGATGTGGCTATAGATGACATCACCATCACATTTGGGTCATGTTCAGGTAAACTGCTCAATGTGTGTAGAGACAATGGTTTGAGTGGCCTACCAACATTAGGACATTGTATCTTTTATCCCCAGATGCTTTCCCCAATTTAGTTGGAACAACACCTATCAGAACCACAGCGGTGGCTCCACCATACCCAGGTAAAAGCATTTGAAGTTTCCTTTTAGAGGCAGTTGATGTCTTGCTACTTATGTCAGCATTTCTTTTTAGTCTGCAACATTGCATGCAGCTTCAAGAATAGCTTATGCACTTGGAGCCAGATGGTCACTGATGCATTTGATTGGACAATGACCAACGTTTCTACGCCTACTGAGATGACTGGTCCCTCTCGCGATCACACTGGTGGTAAGGGTCACAAACAACTTAAGAATTTGACACAATGGGAAGAAATTTAAAGGGCTATTTTGCTTTTTTTTTTTCTTTTTTTTTTTAGACGGTCACTACATTTATATTGAGGCCACAAATGTGACATATGGTGACGCGGCTCGTCTGATCAGTTCAAAATGCACAGAAACTGGCCCTCACTGCCTTCAGTTCTGGTACCACATGTATGGTTCAGCTGAAACGATGGGCCTAAATATTTACATTCTTCAGAACAAAACTGCTAAGGAAGTCTGGCAGAAGAGGAACAACCAAGGAAATGTATGGCACCATGCCAGAGTTGATCTAAATACAACTGTAAACTTTCAGGTGCTTTATCCCAATATTGACATTTTCAAGCAGAGTAGATGAATATTCATTGATGCTTGCAAATCCAAATGTCTGTGTAGATAATCTTGGAGGGACGGAGAGGTTCCAACGATCAATCTGATGTGGCTATAGATGATATAACACTTTACCATGGAAGATGTACAGGTAAACTTTTACCATCTGTGTATATGTAATGGCTCTATCTTTTATGCCACCAACAGCGATGGGTATTGTAGTCAGTCGTCCCTGTACCGTGTATTCAGTGCTCGAGATGGGGGCAGAACCAATGCTTGGTGACTCTACAATGTCCCCCTCTGAGCACCAATTCACTTGTGTTCTGAAGGGATTTAAAAAGGTAAAACTAAGTCAAGCACTCTTCCTACAGATCAAAATGAATTGGGTACAGCTTCTCCTATCAAACCTGAATACAGCACAACTGCCAAGCCAAGTGTTGCATTACCCTCCACAGCCACTCCAGAGGTCCCTCTTCTAAATGGCACAGCCCAGGTCCCAACTGCAAATGTTACGCCTGAAAATGGACAGACTACAGTTTTTATGCAAAATGTAACTAAATCTCCAGGACAAGCCCAGCACCCAGGTATAGCATTTCAATACAGATTTAGCCCAAAAGTGAAAAGTGTGTGGGTTTTTAGATTTTACTTTTTTTTTAGTACAAAGTTGCTAAAGCTGATAAAAGTGAAAATGTATAATGCAGTGACTGAAATGAAATTTAAATTGCACAGTCAAGCTTAATTTGCAAAGCAGCAACCAGCTTGATTTATTTGTATAGTGTGTGGGTGTTATAATTGCCCAACATGGGAGTTTTACCCATCTGCACTACAGCCTTGGGTATCTATTATGTTTGAAATGTGTAAATGCTTAACTCTGTGTTTAAAGTTAACTGTCCACCTTTTTGTTTCAGTATGCAACCTTGACTGTAATTTTGAACAAGATTTTTGCCAGTGGAGTCAGATGCTCACTGTTTGACTGGGAAAGACTTACTGGATCAACCCACACTTGGAACACAGGCCCTCTTTCAGATCATGCAACAGGAGGTAATTTCTAGTTGGTTGACCATATTGCATCCTCTGTCTCAAATCAGTCAACTTGTTTTTGTTTTTTCAAAAAACAAATGAATGTTGCCTTTATGGCATCCCTGGGACTGCAGAAATCCTTTGACTTCACTGACTCTAAATATGATTGTGTCCCTGTTCAGATGGCCATTATTTGCACATTGAAGCCAACGGGGCATCACTAGGGGACACAGCTCGACTTATCAGCACAAAGTGCTTGGACCCTGGTCCACAATGTTTGGAGTTCTGGTATCGTATTTATGGCTCTGCTGACACAATGTGTCTTAATGTATACCTTCTTCAAGATGGACAGGCTACTGTAGTATGGAGAAGAAATTACCAAGAAAATATGTGGAATCTTGCTCAGGTGGACCTGGTAGTTAACAGTACATTTCAGGTGAGTGTGTGTGGGGGAATATTAAATTGGAATATAAAAAAAAGTTGAAGATTGGATAATGCCCTTTTATTTTTAATCAGATAATTTTTGAGGGCCGTATAGGTTCTAATGAAGAGTCTGATGTGGCCATAGATGACATAAGACTTAGTCGTGGGTTCTGCCAAGGTAATTTTGAAACTAGCATTTCTCCCAAAGTCACATAAGGCCAAAAAGCTAAATCTCATAAATTGTTGCAGATTTTGTCACACAAGTAACTGATGCACCAGGAATCTTGAGCACAACAGACTCACCCCAGGTTTCAGCTACAACCAAACCAGAACCCTCAAATGGAACTGTGCCTCAGGCTTCACCCACAGGAGGGCCTCATCCACCAACCACAGCAGGCAATGTTGCTGCTACAACTACACCAGTGCCTTCAAATGGAACTGGGCCTCAGCCTTCACCAACAGCAGGGCCTCTTCCACCAACTGCAGCAGGCAACGTTACTGCTACAACTATACCAGTGCCATCTAATGAAACTGGGCCTCAGCCTTCACCAACAGCAGGTCCTCTTCCACCAACTGCAGCAGGCAACGTTACTGCTACAACTACACCAGTGCCTGCAAATGGAACTGTGCCTCAGCCTTCACCAACAGCAGGGCCTCTTCCACCAACTGCAGCAGGCAATGTTACTGCTACAACTCTACCAGTGCCATCTAATGAAACTGGGCCTCAGCCTTCACCAACAGCAGGGCCTCTTCCACCAACTGCAGCAGGCAACGTTACTGCTACAACTACACCAGTGCCTGCAAATGGAACTGGGCCTCAGCCTTCACCCACAGTTGGAAATCCTCCACCAACCACATCAGGCAATGCTACTGCTACACCCCAGGGTCCAGCTACAACTACACCAGTGTCTGCAAATGGAACTGTGCCTCAGCCTTCACCAACTGTAGCAGGCAATGTTACTGGTACACCCCAGGTTCCAGCTACAACTATACCGGAGCCATCTAATGAAACTGGGCCTCAGCCTTCACCAACAGCAGGGCCTCTTCCACCAACTGCAGCAGGCAACGTTACTGCTACAACTACACCAGTGCCTGCAAATGGAACTGTGCCTCAGCCTTCACCAACAGCAGGGCCTCTTCCACCAACTGCAGCAGGCAATGTTACTGCTACAACTCTACCAGTGCCATCTAATGAAACTGGGCCTCAGCCTTCACCAACAGCAGGGCCTCTTCCACCAACTGCAGCAGGCAACGTTACTGCTACTACACCAGTGCCTGCAAATGGAACTGTGCCTCAGCCTTCACCAACTGTAGCAGGCAATGTTACTGCTACACCCCAGGTTCCAGCTACAACTCTACCAGTGCCATCTAATGAAACTGGGCCTCAGCCTTCACCAACAGCAGGGCCTCTTCCACCAACTGCAGCAGGCAACGTTACTGCTACAACTACACCAGTGCCTGCAAATGGAACTGTGCCTCAGCCTTCACCAACAGCAGGTCCTCTTCCACCAACTGCAGCAGGCAATGTTACTGCTACAACTCTACCAGTGCCATCTAATGAAACTGGGCCTCAGCCTTCACCAACAGCAGGGCCTCTTCCACCAACTGCAGCAGGCAACGTTACTGCTACAACTATACCAGTGCCATCTAATGAAACTGGGCCTCAGCCTTCACCAACAGCAGGTCCTCTTCTACCAACTGCAGCAGGCAATGTTACTGCTACAACTATACCAGTGCCTGCAAATGTAACTGTGCCTCAGCCTTCACCCACAGTTGGAAATCCTCCACCAACCACGGGCAATGCTACTGCTACACCCCAGGGTCCAGCTACAACTATACCAGTGCCATCTAACGAAACTGTGCCTCAGCCTTCACCAACAGCAGGTCCTCTTCCACCAACTGCAGCAGGCAATGTTACTGCTACAACTATTCCAAAGCCCCCCAATGAGACTGGAACAATTCTTCCAAACCCTACTAGTTCACAAACTACAATTCCATCCACATCAGAATCCATTGTAGTTTTAGGTGTTGTTGAGAAGTCTGTCAACATTGGCACAAGAAGCCCTCAACAAACTGTAGTTCCACAACCAGGAACCACACATGTTTCAAGTAAATTGAGAATGATTTTCCTTATGTGCACTATATAACGGCTTAATTTGTTTAGCTTGACATTGTACTAAAAATTGTCTATTCCTTCAGCACCATCCTGTGCAGAGAAGAGTCACTACGCAGTTTGCATCCCTACATGCAGTCCAACATGTGAACACCTTGATGGCCCACCACACTGCAATGTACAGAGAACCTGCATTTCAGGATGTGTCTGTGATGATGGCTTTGTACTAAAGGGGAGTGTCTGTGTGCCTGTCCACAAATGTGGATGTGTTGGGAGGAATGGCATAATTCACAAAGTGAGTAAAGTGTTTTCACTTCTACATTTCTAAACTTGTGCAGATGGCGGTAGGCTTATAGTACATTTTGTTCTAGTTTGGTGAAGTATGGTACACCAACCACTGCAGTCAGAAATGTGAGTGTGAAGAGGATGATGGGGAAGGGCAAGTTGAATGTGAAGAGACAGAGGGGTGTGAAGATGATACCATCTGCCTCCAAAGTGAAATGGGGGAATATTATTGCGAATCCACAGGTATGGCAAGATTATTTGAGACTGTATCAAATGCTTATATTAATTTTCTCATGTTCCTTGACAGATTTTGGTGAGTGTACCATCAAAGGAAACCCAGAGTACAACACGTTTGATAAACTGAAGCATGAATTCAGTGGAACAGACTTGTATGTGCTGGTCAGGACCAAAAATCTGCCCAAGAATCTCCCAGATATCTACATAATGGGCACAACTGCATGCAGTGGCGAGGATATTCAAAATGATGACAGCAGTGAGGAAAATGATGAAAGCGGTAGCGAGGAGTACAATGATGATGATACTGCGGGTCACAAGCAAAAACTGCAAGAGCTTAAAATCAATGTATACAATCATACTATAGAGCTCAAGCACAAGAGGAAGGTGTTGGTAAGTATAGTTATGCATTCAGTTTGGCATTTCACAGGTTTTGCTGTGGAAAAGCTTTCATCTGGAACTAGGAAATGCCATGTTACCTCAGGTGCTTTATGTTAAATATCCATGTAAAATGACTCCCTTTGAAGTACACAATCAAGATCCTACAGTTTAACTTGCTATGTCCTGCAATTTGTTTATATTGCAGTGATCAAAGGTGACTTAGTCTTGACCAAAAAAAATGGCAACTATTTTTTGCACTTCTATGAAAATCTTTATTATCCCTCTAGGTGGATGGTCAAAGGGTTAAATTTCCAGGTACATCATCTCCTGGCTTTAAAATCCTGATGCGATCTTCCAACATCTACTTAAAGACTGACTTTGGGCTGTCTGTGGAGTTTAAAGGACACTGCAAAACTGGTAACTGATCCCTAGTAATTGAATGACTTGTCTGAATCCTCTTTACTTATTTTTTTATTTATTGTACTGCAGATATTATTGTGCCATTCCTCTACAAAAGAAGAGTGGAAGGCTTGTGTGGAAACTTTGATGGCCGAAAGCTAAATGACAAGGTGAAACCAGATGGCGCCATTGCCAAGAACACTCAAGAGTTTGGAGAAAGCTGGAGAGTTTAAGAGTTTAAATGATTAGGTTTTTCTGAAAACCTAATGTGATGCAAATGGGATCTCCTTACTGATCAGCCAACTAACCTAGTATATTTTTAAATGTGCTATGGTATTTGAATCACTTGTTCATTTACAATTTGAATGATATTTATAGTTGTCATAATTGTAAAGCTGCATTTTGCCATTAAACAACTGCATTTTATGTAAATATGAAATGCACAAACCCAAATGTCTAAAATGCACACTCATCCTACAGCTGGCTGTATGTACTGTACTTCAGTGGTCTAATAAACATGTAGAGAAGGAATCTTTGTCTTTTGTAATTCTATACTTAACAGTTGTTCTCGCTTTGGGCGTTGGTACAGAACCTGTCTAACTTGAATGTTACTGTAGAAGTTATTACACCTCCAATCTCCTGCAGTTCCTTCGAGGGTGATAGTTGGATCTTGTTGTCACAGCGCAATGGCTTTGCTAATGCTTTACATCTTCCTTGTATCAGTGCAGCTACGTTCCTATGAAGGTGAGTTGAAAATGCAAATTTTCTACTAGAAAGTCTCTTAAACTGTATAAAATTAGTGTTGCATTTTAAAAAGCCATCGCAGAAATTATGCAAGACTAAACGGTATTTAAAAAGGCTGCTTGACATGGATTAATTCAGAAAATCTGATATGTAAAAGGAAGAAAAATCTCCTATTAATGAATATATTGCTGTATTGGTGCAGATATTCATTCACTTGGCCCTCAGCTGCAAGGCCACAACCTGTCGGATAGGGGACTGTTTATCCTATTACTGAGAGTTGGGATGATACTATTCCCATGACAAGCAGGTTGTTTTAAAGTTGATAACATGTTATTGTTGACATGTTATTGTTTAACAAAGTGTCTGCAATGTGTTTGACTCTAACAACCTTCACAGCATTTCCATCATTGTGACACAAACTGTCTAGTCAGAACAGGACTGAACATTATGCTGTAAGGGCTGTATGTTTTGTTCTCCAACTCACAGTAAAATAAAATGTAGACACTGTGAAATCCATTGATCTCCATTCACTTGACTGTATAATTGAATACCTTTTTCACACAAACCTTGTTTTAATTTGATCTCCAAAAACTCTGAGCAACAGCTCTTACCTCAGAGTTGGCAAATAGAAATTTAGACATCTGGAGTTTGTCTATAAATGCTACTTTCCAATCAAATTGTGAAAATCTGCTGGAAGAAAAATCACTCTTGGATGACACAAAAGCTTTGAAAAGTTTGAAAATGCTGCAATTTAACTTTATTGATCTCAGATTGGAGAAATTTACCTCTGCATTTAACCCAACCCATTGGGGAGCATTGTGCCACCATAGAGCCGTGCCCAGGGAGCAATCAAGGGTTTAAGGTCTTGGCCAGGAACCCAGAGTGGAGGCAGTGGGATTTGAACCAAACACCACTAACCCACTGTCAGATTCCAGAAAAATTACACAGTGCCACACTCACTATTTGGGCCCCATGAAAGGCTTACATGTAGTTGGTGATAAAAATGAAAAAATAAAACAAAAACCTTTCAGTCATTTTTTAAGATCTACAGCAGTAGCTTGCCAGCCAGTATCATCAATGTGATTCCGCTCCAACCTTTAGGAGGATCAACTAAGTAGTTGTAGGCAGCAGATAGCTAGCTTATTTTACACAATAGGTTAATCTACCGATAACATGAAGTATTTGTGTAACAAACTTTCTTGACAAACTGGGTCATGGTATTGGACACATTTCACCATCTCTCCTTTCTTTCTGTTCCTTTTGGTAAACCAGACGGAAAAGACAGAAAATCCTTTCTGTCTGGTTAACCACGGCAGTATTAACCAGACAGAAAATCTTTACCTCTTCTTTGTTTTGCTGTTTAATGCTGAAAGATAAGAGAGAACACAAGGATAATTTACTTTACTGTGGAATTTTCATTTTATATTTGAAATTTCTAGGGGAACATATGTTTTCTTCATCTGGGGCACAAATTGAGGCTTATTGCTTAGGGGTAATGTTCTTGCCTCAAGCGTAACTGAGACTTTATGCCCAAAACACATACACTCTGGACAAAAACTTCTTCACTCTAGCTCAAAATTACACCAATTCTATAATTAGTTAAAACTACACAAAATCACAGAGGAAATCCCCTTTTTTTCCACCATGGGTTTGGCTTTGCTCTAGCTTCCCTCTGTCCATCCCAATTAAAATATTTGCACTGCAAGAACCAAGTGTTTAGAATCGCTTCCGTCCTGAATGTACCTTTACATAGGAATAGTAATATAAATCACTGTCTTCATTAGCATCATTCAGGTTGGGTGTGAATACACCTTAAATCATATTAGTCTTTCCTCCTTTTTACTGTCACTTCCTACATTTATAATTTTTTCTGATGCCTTTTCATCCTATTGGCCCCTCTACCTTGTCTTTCACCTTTTCAACGTTTCTACACTGTTTTCCTCAAATTCTGATAATACTTCTATCTTACTATGTACTGTAAAGTTCTTCCTTCAGTTTGCTGAAGGATAAATGGGTAGCTTGGTGTTTCAAGATGTCATTCATCTAGGGGGCACCTACAGTAGGGTGGACAATCAGGTTTGAGGGTTTGTCCGGTGATATACAATAACAAAAGGCAACTAACTCTACTGCTTTTACCAATACCCTAATGCCACTTTATTAAGCAATTGCTCAAAGCTTTGATTTTTTTAGCTTTAGCCAAAATGACTGAATTAAAAAAGTTTGCCTGGGCTATTAACTAAACAATGATAACCTTTTATCATGCTTTGTATTTCTTTAACTCAAACAACACAGGGAAATAAAACAAGTAATTTCTGTCACATTGAAATTAACTGTTATGTGACATGATTTTTTTTCCACCACTCTTTGTTGGTCTTCTGAAATAAAAAGAAGTGAATGTCCTTAAGATTCTCTACCTATCAATCATCTCTATTTCTCAAGTTTGTATTCTGGTAAAATACTACATTCTAATAAGGGAGTTAAAATATTTTAAATCTTCTGCGATGTTGTAGTTGTAAACAGCACAAAATAAAAGGTGTTTTTAACAATTGATCATTTAACCATGAAACAGGATTTTCAATTTCACTGAGCAGCAGCACTGAGCAGCAACAGACACAATCTACAGGACATCTTGGCCAACAACAGGCAAGGCATCAGCCTCCACCGCAGGGCCGGGCGTTGGCATCCACCACCAGGCAGGGTGTCTGCCTTTACCACCAGGCCAGGCAGGAACCTCCGCCACCAGGCCGGGCATCAGCCTCCACTAACAGGCCAAGCCAGGAGCCCACCACCACCAGGCTAGGCATTAGCCTCCACCACCAGGCCAAGCTAGGAGCCTCTGACACCAGGCTAGGCATTAGCCTCCACAACCAGGCTGGGCATTAGCCTCCACCACCAGGCCAAGCCAGGAGCCTACGACACCAGGCCAGGCCAACCACCACCACCAGGCTGGGCATTAGCCTCCAACACCAGGCTGGGCATTAGCCTCCACCACCAAGCTAGGCATTAGCCTCCACCACCAGGCCAGGCCAACCACCACCACCAGGCTGGGCATTAGCTTCCACCACTAGGCCAGGCCAGGCCAACCACCACCACCAGGCTAGGCATTGGCCTCCACCACCAGGCCAGGCCAACCACCACCACCAGGCTAGGCCCCAGCCTCCACGCCAGCCCAGCCACCACTACCAGACGAAGCCCCAGCCTCAATGCCAGGCCAGCCACCACCACCAGGCCAGGCCCCAGCCTCCACTATCAGTGACCTGCTAACATCCAGATGGCAGCGACCTGCAGGAGGAGGAATTATTCCCCTGAAAGAGCAACAGCGCAGAGGCCTCCAACTGCTGAGCAGGAGCCTTGAGGAAGCGACCGACAAAAACAAGCGAAATAATGCCTCCAAAAGGATCCAAGACCGACGGGAGACAAGATGAGGACTACGTATCACTCACGCAAGTCAAAGAGTTGCTCAGCCAACAAAAGGAAATGTATATGGAGTTACTCCAACAACAACAGGACAATTATAAAGGTTTTATTAAAATCATTGTGGACACTACTAACACCAGAAGGGAGGCAATGAATCGAGAACTACAGGACATTAAAACCAGCCTGCAATTCACACAGAAAGACATTGATGATATAAAAGTAGAAAGTGTTAAGCACAAGGACCGAAGTGACACGTTGCACTCAGACATATTTAAAGTATGTGAGGGCATGATGACCATTACTGATAAAATGGAGTACCTTGAGGGGCAGTCAAGGAGAAACAACCTGGTTTTTGATGGAATTACTGAATCACCAAATGAGACTTGGGCTGAGACTGAAGAGAAAGTGAAAACTATTCTAAATGAAAAGCTAAACTTTCAACATAAGATTGAGATGGAGAGAGCTCACCGCACCGGTAAACCTAAAGGATCTAAGATTTTCATTAACAAAGACTTCATGGATGCGGTAAGGAAAAGGAGGGCAGAACTAATGCCGGACTTAAAAGCAGCACGCCAAAGAGGGGACATTGCTTACCTACGTTATGATAAGTCGATCACCCATCCACGTACTAGTACCCCTAAATTATCCAACAATGTATGACAGACAGCCAGACATAGCTGACATTCACTACTGAAAGAGAAACATGCAACAGATCGCGGCCTATGAGGATATAGAGTTATCCGCATTCCAACACAGAAACTATAATCAGCAAGATATTGAAAATGACATTGATCCTAATAATAATTTCTATAATGTCATCAATGATAGTTGTCACTATTACAGTGATGATCAGTTCAACAAAAGGGTTAAAACGGAACAAAAGCTGTCAATAATTCACTTTAATAGCAGAAGCCTGTATGCAAATTTTGACAACATCAAACAATACATCCAACAACTTTCACAGACCTTCAATGTTATTGCCTTATCAGAAACTTGGTTAAATAGTGATAAGGGCATAGACTTTGAAATCAATGGTTATGAAATGGTTTGCAAGAACAGAGAAAACAAAAATGGAGGGGGAGTAGCTTTATATGTTGATAACAAGATTAATTATAAGTTGATCGAAACAATGTCAACTGTCATGGACAACATGTTTGAATGTGTGACTATAGAAATATTAGTGGAAAAAAAGAAAAATGTCTTGGTGAGTTGCATTTATAGAGCCCCTGGATCAAACATAGAAGTACTCAACAACTGGATAGAAGAAAAATTTATAACAATTAATCAAAAAATAATATTTTTTTTGTGGGGATTTCAACATTGACCTTCTTAATCCAAATAAACATAGAATGACTGAAGAATTTATTAAC